AAAACTAATTACTACACTTTCGACATACACTTNTCGACTATATATATATTATAATATATATATAAATAATAATATACATTTATTATATATATATATATATATGTGTGTGTGTGTATAAACATGCATATTTATTTATAGATATATATACATGTAAATATATATATATATATATATATGTATGTATGTATGTATATATATATGTATATTTATATTTATATGTCATAATATATATATGCAAGTGATATATATGCAAGTGTATGTGCATGTCTATATAGTTTTATATAGATAGATTGATATAGAACTATATATATATATATATATATATGTATATCTATCTATATATATACCTATACATATACATAGGTGTTCATATTTATATCTAAATTCATGTACTTAATATGTATATACATATACATATATATATATATATATGCGTGTGTGTGTGTGTTTGTATGTATGTAGATATATGTATAATATATATATTTACATATATATATATATGCGTGTGTGTGTGTGTTTATGTATCTGTTTACTCCATATTCAAATGAAACTATTCTGTCTGTACCTAAAATCAGGACTACAATCACTGATGTCCTTTCTTGACAGCAGTATGTATTTTCATATGTGTCTATTGCGCTACTGTACATTGCGTATTATGGGCTTGCTATGCGATGTCTTTGATAGCAATAGCTGTTGTATACATGTTCGTGTTCTTTTGATTATTAAGGATCACGTGTTATAATTGTATATTACACACACTTCTTCCTCCTGAACGGTCGCTAAACGAGGGTCATTTATTGTCAGCACCACTCGCTATCCAGAGGCAATCATATACTTTCCGTTGCTATACGTTACTTCAATCGCTTTGTCATACAAGTATATTACACAAAACCGCGCATTACGCTTGTTATCATGTCCATGCTTTTACCTACTCAGGGGATCGATGTTGCCTGCGCTCATTGGCTTCGTTGGCGGGTCGGTGGTGATGGGTGGCGCCTACTGTGTGTACATGGCAAACGAGGATGCAAAATTCAGAAGAGAGTATGTGATGTTGGGGTATACTTACTACATACGCTTAGCTTGTAGGATGTTAATTGTGTGTGCGCTGGCTGGTATATCAGTACGCGTTCATGACTATATGTATATGTATATATAGGGGGGGGGTATGTTATATCTGTGCTATTCAGAATCGACCCCTATCTCCTCAGCACTCATAATTATCGTGCATGTGTATGATGACTAGGTATTATGATGACTAGGTATTTGTTGGGTATGAATTTATACATATGATTGTGCATATGTGGCATGTGCATGTGTGTGTGAATGGTATATGTTATGTTAGTGCATACCACGCGCACTCCCTTGGCGCTGTCATGTTGTCCACTTATTCATGTTTGAGTACAAAAAGATGTCCTGGTAGCACGAATTGATCCGAATCTGGAACAAGCATAGTCACACTATCAAGACAAACGTGCACTCAAATCGCCATAGCTGTGTATGCGTATTGCGTCTCCCATGCACTACTGCCTGTACGTTACGCTTCATCCGAGTTCCTCCACCCTTTTCCGTCTAACCTATCGACTTCTCTGGATGTTGTTATCACAGCTTTGAAGCATACGTCCCCGGTGGAAAGGATGTGCTGGATGCCTTTCTGGGGCCTAAGGCTGTGATTAAGGTGGGTGTTTCATATCTGTCTTGGCTGCGAACGTTTGTTCTACTGGGTATGCGAGGCTTGTGTGTTGTGGCTTTGCTTGGTGCTGAATGCTAGTGAGTGTGGTCGCCAATCGCATACGAATGCCTCCAATGCGAGTCTTGCCACCGGTTGGTACGGTACAGTGTATGTACATACGTCTGTTGCGCAGACTTCTATCTGAATGCACCGTTGTTACTATGAACTGAACAACTACCGGTGATGTGAAGGGTGCAAAGGTGCTGTGTCGTTTGTTATGTAAGCTTATTCACACTACATCCCCTCAACCGACAACATGCAAGTGTGTATACCAAACAAAACACACATCTGTTGTGCTGAGCATATACATCTACCCACACACGTATGCGTGGTTCTACTCACCTCGCTCCACCCTAGACCCATCGCTCGTGATATATCTGTTGCGGTATCCGCTGTATGGAGTGTCAGTCTTTTATCGCAGACATAACGTTAACGTTGTTGGAACTGTTGCCGTGAGTATGCTCTAGTGCTCGTGAGGGAAAGCTGTGACTCGTCTTCAACGTGTTGGGAATGCATGCGAACTTATACTATATATGCGACTATCCCATACCGTGCAGATGCCGAAGCCGGATTTATCCTGGAAGAACCTGCCTGTCGGAGAAGAGAGTATCGAGAAGGCGAAGGATATGGTTGGCACAGTGCTGCATAAAGCCGGTAAGCATGGATTTAATGCCTACCTCTGTTATGATGTCATGATATGAGTATTAAGGACATACGGTTCGCAAGCCTGGGACTGTATGCTGCTGTATAGGCTTGTGTAGGGTGTGTGGTATAGAAGTAAGTGGTTCGTGTCAGTTATAAATTCTGGACGCAAGGGCATGCATAGCTTCACACTTAGCTAAGCCGGGTGCGTGCATGCCTGAGCTCATGAGCACGCTACAACCCTGTAGCAGAGACCTATTACGTACGTGTTCATTAGATCATCGGACACTGTGAGATTGTTTAACACTCGGATAGTGGACTCACAGTTGTTGTGTATCGCCATGTGACTGCCAGTCCACCACTTAGCTGAGTGGCCGTGTGCACGACAACATGTGTGTGCAACGATCTAACGGCCATTAGACGCATATGTATACGCAAATGCTCGGTAGGGAGGAACCAGTATATACACCAGTCAAGCTAGTGTATGTGTGGATGAGCTCGATTTTAACCACAGGAGGTCCATGCCTCGTATTCTCTAGGGGTTGCTGCTCTCGGAGTGTACATACGGATGCAACCACAGAACTTTCTGCGTACGATTGCACCAGCTCATACTACAGTGTGTATTCCTCTGAGAAAGATGTGTAAAGTGGTAAGTACAGATACACGCACACGCATATCCATGAAAACCTCACCGATGTCATCACCACACAGCACTATGACATAGCTAACAAAAACACATGTATGCACGTCCGTCCACCTCTCAGAGGACGAGGCATTGGACCTGGTTGAGAAGGTCAAGCAGAGCTCCAAGGACCTTGCCAGCATGGTGTATGGAGGCTCAGGCACAAGCACGGCGAATGAGCTACAAGCAGTCAACAGCAGAGTGACGGACAACGTGGAGGATGCGGCCGATACGGCCAAAGAAAATGCCCAGGGTTTGGCCCACGGCCTCGACGAAAAGGCCGGTGAAGTGCTGCCACAGGGTGTGTGTGGGTTGGGTGGGTGGGTGTTTGGTCGTTTCTAGATGCTTGTGTGAGTGTGCTGAGAATGCGTGCTTGCGTGTGTATGCGTTTGCTTCTAGACACCTGTGGGGGTGTGCTCAGAGAGAGTGTGTGTGTGTTTGTTACTGGATACATGTGGGTGCTTGTGATGGTGTTATCAGACTAGCGTCTGAGTGTGTGGTTCAGTGATATGAGTAGGTATACAATTTTCAACTATTCTTTCTGAGAGTAGCCGGAGGCAAGGCTGATAATATGCCAATGAAAGCGTGTACCCGTATAGGTTGTTACAGGAAACACACGCCCGCAGCGCCATTCCTGTCCATGGTTCCCAAATCAGAAAGGACACGGCCGAGCATGTACGAACATGTTATGTACTTTATGCAATTGTCAGCGACTGTGTATTGTGATTGCACAACCTTGTCTCCTGCCACATAGACGCATTTGACACCCCCCATGTATTGCACAAGTCAGACGATTCAGATACGTCAATGTATCATTTCGTGATCTTTTTGTCTATATATACTAACACACCTATCCTCGATCGATGCACGTGTAGCACCCGAGTCTTCTGACCTAGTTCCCGATGGTGTCAAGGAAGTCACAGCCATGCTGCAAGGTGTGGCTGTGGGCAGTACCGAACAGCTGGAGTCCGTTACGCGCGAGGTCACCTCTGGGCTCACAGACGCCGTCAGCACGCTCAGAAACAAGGCTCACGATGCCAAGGACAGTGTGGAAGAAGCCGTCGAGCATGGCACCGAGACGCTGAAAGATGTGCTACAACACGTGGAAGAAGCCATTGTCAAAGGCAACGCCTTGGACAGCGCCAAGCACGCGCTAGAACACGGCAAGGACGAACTCAGAGCGGCGGTGCACAGGGGTGAGGAGGCGCTGGAGGGGGTTGTGGAGACGGCTAAGGACAATATGAGCCCTGCTGCCCTGTCCGGGTCCAGCAAGTGGGTTGCTGCACTGGACAGTACGAAGGAGAAGCTCCACGACGCGGCGGAGAAGGGCGAGGAAAAGGCCAGGGCAGAGGTTAGTAGGGCCGCTGAGGCGGGTGGTGACGCGCTGAATGAGACTGTGGTGGACCCGATCAAAGGGGAGTTGGACAGGGCCGTTGAAACAGGTGCAGATGGCCTGAGTACGGTGGCTGAGGTCACGCGGGACGGGGCAAGTACGGCAGCGGATTATGCCAAGGATGGCGTTAGTGTGGCCTTGGGTGGTTTGAATGCGGCCGTGGATAAAGTCAGTGGCGTGGCTAGCGATACCGCTGAGGTGTGCCGAGCGATGTTGCACACCCTGGTTTGGTAGTACTGCTTGCGAGTGTGTGTGTATAGAGGGTATTTATGTGTGTGTGTGTATAGAGGGTATTCATGTGTGTGTGTATGTATGCGTGGTGTGTGTGTTTGTAGGTGCGGGCTCGAGACTGCTGTAGTGGAGAGGGACGGGCAGATGGGTTCGACTATCGCGAAATACGCTTTCGTCTAAGCGTTTGTACATCTAATCGGTGTTGCTGCGATGGTTTCCCCTAACTGTAGGCTCGGGCTAACGATTTGTCAACCGTTCGAAGGGATGCGCAGGTCGCTGTTGGTCTGCAAAAACAGGGACTATATCAATCCCAACTTTCTTCATTGTGTCAAAAAACTTAGTTGAACGTGACTATAAACCTTTTCGTAGTGTGTAGCAGAAAATGCACCTTGCCACTGTATTATACACGCTTCTATTGACGTTTCTATGTATGTTGTGTGTAACAGTAAGTACGTCTCTATATAAGTACGGTGTATCATTGTGCACACCAGCATATGCGCCATGTTGCGTACCTCATTACAACGCGATACGACTCCTTTGCAGTTAGTGCACAGGCAGTAATGCCTCGTCCACATCACATCAGATGCGAATACACTTTTTAACTCGGTGGTGTTTACGTTAATTCATACTGTATCTGCATGTGAATATACATTATGACTCACTGGTGTTTACGTTAATTCGTAATATATGTGCATGTGAATATGCCTTCCAACTCACTGGCGGTTACCGTATATCGCTTTTTATGTGCAATAAATCAGGTGGTGGCGGATGAGGTTGCGTTGGGTACTGAGAAGGCCACAGAGGCCGCTGCCGAGGTTGCCGCTGATGTTAACGACACTACACGCATAGCTGCACGTGGAATGAAGGAGCTCACACTGGGGCTCACAGATAAGGCTGGCGATGCAGCAAGTGGTATCAAGGACAAGGCTGTGGATGTGGCTGGTGATGTGTATGACAAGGCTGGTAATCTGGTGACCAAGGCCGAGGACATGGCCGGTGATGTGTACGATAAGGCTGGTAATTTGGTAAACAAGGCTGAGAATGTAGCTGGTGATGCCAAAGATAAGGCTGTGGATGTTGCTGGTGATGTGTACGATAAGGCTGGTAATTTGGTAAACAAGGCTGAGAATGTAGCTGGTGATGCCAAAGACAAGGCTGTGGATGTGTACGATAAGGCTGGTAATTTGGTACACAAGGCCGAGGATAAAGCTGGAAACCTGGCAAACAAGGCAGGTGATGTGGCAGGTGGGGTGTATGACAAGGCCGGCAATCTGGTGACCAAGGCCAAAGATATGGCTGGTGATGTGTACAATAAAGCTGGTAATTTGGTAAACAAGGCTGAGGATGTAGCTGGTGATGCCAAAAATAAAGCTGTTGACGTGGCTGGTGATGCCAAAGATAAGGCTGAGGATGTGGCTGCAGATATGCGAGACAGGGCCGGGAATGCGATAGACCAGGCGGAATCTGCGGCCCACAACGTACAGGACAAAGCTCAGGAGGTTGGGGCAGATATCAAGGGCACGGCCCAGGACGCCCAACAGGCGGTGGGAGACGAAGTGAGTGAGCTCACCAACTCGCTCAGCGAACGCATCCGTGAGAGTGTGCAGGCCGCAGATGAGCTGGCGGAGAATGTGGGCGACAAGGCGAGTGCGCTGAAGAGCCAGGCCGACAAGGCCAAGCAGGACATGACGCAGGTGTTGGCAAAGGTGTGTGGGACGCAGTAGCTGTGTCTGTGTCTGTGTTGTTTCTTGGCGGTGTTTGTCTTCGCTTGGCTGCGTCTTGGCTTTGCTTAGCTGTGTCTAGCTGTGTGTTTAAAGGGCAGGGGTAGGCAGGCACAAGCTAGCGTTGGCAGGTGTGTAGGCACCACTGGGGGTACCCATATGCGATATTATGTCCACCGCCCATGTCTCTCAAATGCTTTAGAGCCTTGTACCGGACTTGGCCTTGAATGTTGTATGGCGTAGTTGCCACTCGGGAGAAATGTGGGAGGACCTCGTGCGGCACAGTGCTTGCGTATTACATCTGTTACCTCCACCCATCGAAAGCTTGGAATCCTGCATTGATATGTCGTTGTTTTCCTTTGTCGTATTATACAACATTTTACACTTGGGGACTTTGACCCATTTTCTCACCCAATATCTTGGCTCCCAACCCGATATCCAGGACGGTTCAGAGGCATCCGCCACCGAAGCAGAAGGAGAAGCGCCCTTAGAAACCTTCTTTCAGAAGAGGCTGAGTGAGAAGATCAAGGAGATTGACGAGAATATGCCGTCAGACTTGGCTGGGCGTGCGAAGACGATGTTCTTGGCCAATGAGCTCAACCGCCTGGTGCACATGGTATCGCTCGACGAGCAGGAGAATGAACAGAAGCTCAAGGACATGCAGAATAGGTTACAGGAGGCTGAGGAGGCTTATCAACAGAAGGTACGGGTTCTCATGCGTCTGTATGCATTCATACGCAGGTCTGTATTCCGCCTGTGTAGGAGTATCCCCGTGTCACGGGTATTTGCGTTGCACGTTTTGCTTGTGTGTGTATGTAGAGCTGGAGCTATGTTTTGTTGTATGCCAGCACATATGCATCATTGCACCTGTTATGTACAACCGATTCCTTTTTCTAACGCTTTCATTTTAAGTAAAACAGTACGCTCGTATCTAGTTAGCCTCAAGGTAGGCATACTTCAACACGCACTCGCGCAGAACCGTTCAAAATCGCTGCACACGATTGCGCAAGGTTTTATGCGTAGTCGATTACACAGTATTTGTTGAGTGTTATGTTTCACCTTACATTCTCCAACATCCGTGCGGCGTTTCCTTATATATATATATATCCATTATGTTTTCTCTCATATATATATATATATATATATACATTGATTGTGACTACGAACCCCACTTCCCCCCCGAATTCCAACAGCTCGAAGCCACGCAGCTGGAGCACACCTTAGCCCTACAACAACAGGCAGAGACGCTGCAGCAGCAAATGCAGGAACAGATTGTGCTGGCACGTGCTCAAGAGAAGGGTATGTGGACGCACACGCATTGCAGCTGTATTCATGAGATCGCAATCAGACGTGTGGCTGTTCCGTTGTTGTGATCAGAATGGTATGGTGTAGCGCTCGATGCAGAATTTGCAAACGACTTTGCGAGTGGCCGTGATGAGTGGCATGTGCTTTGTGTGTGTGTGTGTGTATGACCCGGTTCAGAGAGGTGTTTGATGGGCAGCTCGTGGTTTAATGTGATGCACTATAGCGTTCTGGTATGCGCAGAGACTTTTTTGCAAAGAAGAAGTCTTCTTGTGCATGGGTACACCTGATAGTCATCGATTAAATGCTCCCACTTCTCCCTATATATTTCTATAATATATAGATATATATATATATATATGCCTGTATGATTTATATCTTATATTTTAAGGCTTTCTATCCTACTGTCGGTCATCTCACCACCTGACTTTCTACTCACTCTCTTTGCATACAGAGATGGCTGAGGCGGCAGTCGCGGCCGAGGCGGCGCTACATGACAAACTCGTAGAAGAGGAGAAGCACGTGTGGCACTCACAGAACAACGAGGAACAGCTCAACACCATCAAGCGGCTGGAAACACTGTACGAACACTACTACCAAGACAAGCTGCAGCAACAGGCTGGCGCCCAGTACGAAAGTGGGTGTGTGTGCGGTGTAACCTCCGTATGATCTGGTGGCGAAGTAGTACTTGTTTTGTGGCGGCCTGTGCATCTACTATGACAGAGACAGATGACCGGATACTTACATTACAGCAAGTAGCTGCATGCTCGATGTTGTTTCTCAGCAGTCAGTGGGAACAGAGATTTGTCTGTGAACGTGAGCCCGTCCATTGTTGTACGGAGTGGTGTATCTCCGGTGTGTCGCTGTCCGTATCACGTGGTCATGGTATCGTAAAGCACGTGCATTAGTATCACTACATTGCACACGTGCAAATCTCTGTACAAACACCCTTCTCCTGGCCGTATCCACCCGTGTGGTTGTTCGCACTGCCGTGTGTATGTGTGATATGGCTGTACAGAGACTTACGCTCATACCCCTAAGCCTTATTCGTTCCATGTCTCAGTTTGTGGGAGATTGTACCGGTCTTGTCTGTAAAACATTGACATATATATACCTACATATCTCTACATGCATGATCATGCAGGTGTATATATACCTACATATCTGAATAGGGCCCCCATGCATATACACAACCATTTACCCACAACCAAAAGACAAGCTTCGCATGTACTGATATTGTTCATGTACACATCTCTCCTCTGTGTGTAGTCGGAAAGCAAGCCCTCCTGCAACGACTGGCGAAAGAGCGAACGGAACGGCTGGCGGCACTTGAGGCCATGACAGCCAGGCTGCAGGTCAGTTGGATTAATACCGAGTCTCTTAATGAAGCGTACCAAAAAAAAACCTATTGGTTTAAGAAGGCGTTTGTATTGTGTATGTGACAGCCAGGCTGCAGGTCAGTTAGACTAGTACCGAGTCTCCTTCTGAAACGTACCAAGAAAAAATATTGGTGTAAGAAGGCGTTTGTGTTGTGTATATGGCAGTCAGGCTGTTGGTTTAAGAAAGCGTTTGTGTTGTGTATATGGCAGCCAGGCTGTTGGTTTCGGAAGACGTTTGTGTTGTGTATATGGCAGCCAGGCTGTTGGTTTCGGAAGGCGTTTGTATTGTGTATATGGCAGCCAGGCTGTTGGTTTCGGAAGACGTTTGTGTTGTGTATATGGCTGCCAGGCTGTTGGTTTCGGAAGGCGTTTGTATTGTGTATATGGTGGATTGCTTTTCAAAATGCGTCTGATTTGGCGTATTGGGGATGTCTGTGTTTATAGGCTGTCCCTTAGAGCCACTGCCACGTGTGTGTAACAACTGCCTGTGTGGCAGTGCACATTGTTTCGTTCCTGTACACCCCCCTGTATATAGGGTTTTGGGGTTTAAACCCTGTGTATAAGATTTAGGGTATTGGGGTTTAAATCCTGTATATAAGATTCAGGGTTTGGGGGTATAACCCCTGTGTATCCAAGTAGTCTGATGTGCAGATACAACATGCTATGCCCTCTAACACACTCACCCACTCACACCCAATGCCATCCCAACCCATCCCAGAACCTCGACGCCCTACTGACCAAGTCAAAGGAAGCTTCGGGCTCCGCACGCAGGTTACACGCGATGTACCTGGGCAGGTCAGCGATACAGCACGCACTCGACAGTAATGAGCCTCTGGCTGTAGACCGTGATGCCCTGGCACTTGCAGGCACAGTGGGCAAGGCCAAGGCTGGGATTGAAGAGGAGGATAATCTGTACCAGGTAAGTATAGATATGTATAGGTAGGCTCGGATGGTTTGCGTATGTATTGGCCACTGCCTATGTACACGTGCGACTGTGGTATGTATAGATAGGCTCGATGGTTTGTATGTATTGGCCGTCAAGTGTCTTCCAGATGTCATGGTCTCACAATCATATACAGCCATGTACATAGTTCATTAACCCTGTTTGCCTTTGTCTGCTGCATTCAGATGGCCGTCAAATGTCTTCCAGATGTCATATTCTCGTCACCGCTGAAGAACTATGGACAGCTGCAGAGCCAATTCAAACGGCTGCGACCTACGCTACGCAAAAGCAATCTCATGCCAGAGTAAGTCTCGTGTTTAGCTATGAGAGTTGTCTGAGGGGTCTGTGTGAGTGTTATATATCTTTATGATGAAAGACGTTAGCCTGCTTGCGCGCTAGGGTCCTCTCTAAGCGCTCGTGTGCAACCACGCGCACAGAGTGACGTGGGTGGCCATTGTCGAAACCAAGGAACAATCCGCCTGTATCAACCTTCTATTATCCCCCTCTCTTTTTTATTTAGAAGACTTGGATACTACGTGTAACTTTGCAACTGTGTGCTCATGCGCAGTTGCATATGGCGTATTGCCTACACACGGATAGATACACCATACTATCACACACGCCAACCCATCCCTTATCCTGTATTCACAGGGATAAATCGGGTAATTTTGTATCCGGAGTGGCCACATACACAGCTGCCTGTGTGGCTGACGCACTGACCTTCCGCCGAGAACCAGTAGTAGTGGCAGGATCAGCACAAAACGAAGTGATTGAGGAGACTGATACCGTACTGGCACGGGTAGAGTTCTGGTTGGACCAGGGCGATCTGAAGAAGGTGCGTGCGTATTTTGTCTGTGCTTTGTTTCGGATTATTTCTTGGTGTAGGTGTACAATCCCTATGTATATATATATATATATGTATGTATGTATGTTTATGTATATATATATATATGTGTGTGTGTGTGCTTATGAATGCAAAGTGTTTACTCGATTCTATATATGGTGTATATATTCTCGCAGTTGTGTATCTAAGGGGTCGACTTGGTTGTCTCGGTATCCCTTCAGCTGATTCCCGATACCTACCTAACAACACCACAACTCACCTCACCATTGCAGGCTGTGGCTGCTGCACGCACGCTTTCTGGGAACGCCAAAGACGCGGCATCTGATTGGATCGCAGATGTAGACGCTCTGTTGGCGACGCAATTGGCTGTGCGCTTGATGGACACCTTCGCCACCAATGAGGCGACACATGTGTTTGAATGAGGGGAGGATGAAGGACGTAGACTGCTATAAAGATTAATAAAGAACGGTTAACATGCTAAAGGGAGAAATGGGACACGAGCGTGCAACACGCGTGTGTCACCATATCAATGGAAGAGTATAAGTATCCATTGATGCACATAAATCACTTGTTAAATATACATATATATATATATCACTGTATATATATATATATATATATCACTGTATATGTATATATATATATATCACTGTATATATATATATATCACTGTATATATATATATATATACACTGTATATATATATATATCACTGTATATATATATATATATCACTGTATATATATATATATATACAGCAGAATCTTGTATTGCACGAGTTCGACAGCCATGTACGCGTAGTCTAAATGTGAAGACAGCGTGTGTATTCATATGCGATAATCGTTAAGTGCCCAATTGTTGCGGAAATGCATGCGCTGGCAAACAGACATGGAGATGAGCGCAGGGGTGGGTCATGTTGTACGGCATCTGCCAGACGGAGTGGTTGGGGAGCTATCTAAAACCCATCATTCGTCTCAAACCCCGAGTTTATCTCGAATCTAACAACTATCTCAAACCATAGCCATCATCTAAAAAGACATAAGAGTGTGTAATTATTTTAGTGGCCTACATAGAGGAGGCTATGCGCAAATTTAACATTCATCTCCTTCGTCGAATATCTGGGTTAGGAAACGACGGTGACAATTGGGCAAACGAAATTTACGCATGTCGTGATGGTGTCATCGGGCTCACTAAAGGAGACATCGGTGTACATCCAAATGTAACCAAACAACCTGTCAGACATGCCACTGCGACATTTATCCATAGAGGTGTACATCCAAATGTAACCAAACAACCTGCCAGACATGTCACCGCGATATTTATTCACAGAGATGTACGTCCAAAGGTAATT